TGACCTCGACCAAAGGGAATATACACAGAATAAAGTTCTAAAATAACTGTGAAGTTGTCATTAGGGACTAATTTCACAACCAATGATTGATGCAGGCTAGAATAATACTTTCTATGGAATTTAATAATTCTGAAACTTTTGTAATTCCAGGTTCAGAGTGGGCGCTTGATTTCTCCGCCTACAAACATGCTCAAAAGCTAATCAAATTAGCGCAAATCATCACGCAGTACTCTCGGTCATGTTGTATAGTCATGGAACTCTTATTTCGAGAGATGTATAGCGCTATAATAAATTAATTGAAAGTTGCATAGCATATAAGTTATACCAATACGCTGTAACTTTGAATATAGTTAATGACTATCTTGCTGAAGAGATAAGTAAGCGTAACCTAAGTGGCTTTTAGGCAAATCATAAATTCTCATGGAAAAAATGCAAGGTCGTAAAACAGACTTATAGTGTATTCAAGAAACAGAGAATAAAGAGATTTTTTGAATAATGTAGATTAGAAGTACATTGTCGTAGGATATCACGCATTGTCAAATACGTTCATTCTTACTCATATCGTTCCTTCAGATTCACCTCTCAGAATAAACAACAACAAGGGCCTACTATGTCTCGGCATGCGTAGTTTGAGGGAAATTCATGGTGCTCCCAATATGACCATTGATATCACCAATCGCCTAAGGCTCTGTGATGGTGACATACTACAGCGAGTGTTCGACGGAGAAATCATTTACCAATGGGGGTTGGAAGATGAGGCAGCAGTAGATGACGATACCGCACTTGGTAAGTATACGCATTTACAAAATATAAAAATAATAGGTGTAGAAGGAACAGAGACAATCGTTCCTATCTAGAAATTCCAACCTCCTGATTCATTAGATTGACCTCTTAGAACTTTTAGCAAAGAAGTTTTTTTTTGCAAACAATTTTTTAGGGCTCGTAATGATATTTGGAGGCATGGCAATTTTGCTATTTATCGTACACGGAAGCGCGTACGTTGTTTACAAGTGGGAAGACCATCAATTGCAAAAGAAGGTAAGTGCGCTATAATACCCAACAAGTTTGCTGATTTGACTAGAAAGCAATTTAGTAGCATTGAAAACGATCCAGTACATTAATGTTCAGTATTTTAGTCCATTAATTCGCCTTCTTTCTAGTGTTGCAAGACCTCTTCCTAAGGTTGTTAAGTAGCAATTTTTATAGCGCATGAAATTAAATCTGCGCTAAACCCTACAAAACTATGTTATCATTAAGGTGCACCCTCACTCTTCTTCAGAATCTTTCTATTTATCTAAGAACATCTCTATAGGATTAACTGTTAAAAAGTTAGGGCACATTATAACTTGATTACATACCTTTCATCCATCTTTTGTTTAGAGTCTTTGTTTGTGAGTAATGTTCGTGGAAAAATCCGTGTCAAATTATGGACTTCCCTTATGCGTCCACAGATAATCGACTGTCGCCATTGCCCCCTACATTTTAGCATAGTTTATCGAAGATCCACCTTTCTCTTGACTG